TTTTTTTTGCAGAAGGATGTTCAATGTCTGTTGTACCAAGAGGTGCTGGTAGTGACGATGGTCAAAGTAGTTGCACTTATGTATGTGAGATGATGCAGTTTCTCTTGTAAAAGCTTTTAAATTGCATTTATTCTCATAACAGCTGTTTATATAGACATTTTCCCCCCTGAAGTGCTTCTTGGTAAATCCTCTGTGTTCACACAATGTACAATGCTCGTGGGTGAAAAGCTTTTACACCACAGTGAGTGTGCAGGAGACTTTTACTGTTTTTAGAAACAGAAATTGAATACTACTCAGCCATCAAGATAACTGCTATACTCCTGTCTCCTAATTCAATATTTATCAACTTTGTTTTAACCAGCATTTTGGTTCTTGTTTCATTTTGTATCAATCCTGCTTGAACTAGGGGAGAAAAGAGCAAGGTTCAGTACAGTATTAGGTTTATATACATGTCTCTTGTTGCATATGCAAAGCTCCATAAAGCCCTTTGTAAATGACACTTGGTTGTTTTTTAAAATAATAGCATGTTTTCATGCTGAAATGTCATAAAGACCTCTGTTTAGTGATAAGAACTGCTTTGGATTTGGACATAATAGCTCAAGAAGCTTGCTAGCTCTTTTGCACATTTATACATAAGGGAGTAACGAAGAGTCTACTGTATTTGTATAAATATGAAACTCAGCAAAAAGTATCTTTTCTGAAAGTATTAGGATACTAAGATAGGTTGTATTAATAGAATGGTTGATTTCAGAAGATACTGTTTCCCCATTATCGTTCCTGGGGCTCATTTATGGTCTAACACATTTGTGGCTTAAATTGGGGAAGATTGTTGTGGGATATGTTCTTGCTTGGATTTAGGTATCTAGATTAGTGGGATTATTCTAATATATATGAGAATTTAAATTGCAGCTGAAATATTGAGACAGAAGAGATTGGATTGCTTAATATGTAGTCTTGCCTAGGTTCCATAATCACAGCTAAATCACAGCTAGTTTTTCTAAGGGCCAAATTAGCTGAAATATGTTTAATGAAATATGTCTATGCACAATTGTTTTTACTTTAACAGATGGTACACAGAGCTCCAAGCTACTTCAGGACCATGGTGTATGTGTGTGTGTTAAATTATTTGTTTTTTAATAATAATTTTATCAAAGATTATTGTTAGATAAGCTCCCTATTGGGAGAGCAAGTACGTTCAGTGAAGCGTTGTGAGAGTTGTGTTGGAGAACACACAAACCAGCATAC